TACGGTATCGTGGATGGTGCTCTTCAGTACTTTGGAAGGAATACTACCTCAACTTGGAAAAAGCTCTGTGTGCTCGAGAAGAGTATTTACTTATCTTGGACACGTAAAATCCGTTCTATTACTCAGGTTCTCTCTTCCAAGAATTCTCGTAAATTAGGTGCTAAACAATTGATGCATATGTAATACAATCAATCATCAATGCTAATGGGCTAAACTTGCGAAGCTGTCAAGCTCCAGCGTTTCTCTCGCTCACTTACTTCTGACATAGGACTGTTCTTCGAAATTGTCGCCATTTCGGCCCTTTCGCAGCTTCTCTCACAACGTTACTCCGTTAGCGCCTTGCTTGAAGATTTACTCCTTTCAACGATATTTTTGATAATGTAAGGTAATCCACTACGTTCTACATTTTGTGTCTAGCAATTCGTGTTATTTATTCGAGTTAATATCTGAAACTATCAATCGATTTGATCAGGAGCAGTGACGTTTGAACACGAATTTGGCTAGTGAAGTATAGCGAGCATGAATTAAACACAGGTAGATCTTCCCTACCAATCGGATCAGTCAGCGACCCTCCTACGACCCCGGCAGGTTGGGCTGCTCTAGACGATATAAAGAATAAAAGATAAAGCATTCGGTATCGATCAAACTCTTTTCGGGGTGCGCCATGCATGCTACTTCCAGTCAGAATCGTAACAGCATTTCGAAATTGATTTTGCCATGAATCACGATATTTGATGACTCAGGGCACTATGTAAAAGTCAGTATTTTATCCGCAGTCAAGTGGTTTACAGATTAAAGAGATTGAGGCTTAGGTTGCCTGGAGGACGCACTATCGGTTGATCCGGACAGCGTAGTGCGCGCTTTGGGCAATAGACGATGAATCACGCTGGTTTTACCGATAGTAGTCGCCCCTGTCAATAACCACTCCTTATCCACCCTCACACAGGGCAGAAAGTAGGAAACGCACATTCTCGCGTAATGAAAATATGGGTTGTCTCTGCGCATCAACATCAAGGACTGACATCGATGGAGGGTTGGGGCATGGTTTTATTTTTAGTGGTACCCAGAATGTGGGACGTGGGCCCTCTCGCCGTCGCGACGGTGGCGTCTGTCGTGTCGCTTGTCTAGTTGGTTTATTGTTGTGTTTCACAAGATGTTAACAAACGTTCCGAGGATTTGAACCCGCACCCCTTGTTGTTTCCGGACAAGTGCCGCTACAAGATTACCGTTGTCTAGTGTGTTCTTAGCGAGTATGCGGCTATGGACTTCAACCACCACACAATTCTCTTTACCAACAAATAGTCACACAACATTGCATGAGCTGAAGGTAACACCATTCTTTTCATTCGCCAGCTCGTTTCGATCGAAAACATTTCCGAATAGGTGATTTTTCAATCTATAAATCCTCCTTTGTGAAGTATCATGTCAATATTGACGTTCATGGATGCACACTCAGCAAAAAATATCAGATCTAACCGCAACTTGTGGTACGGTCTATTCAAATACTGCGAGCAAAGGGTTCAAATTTTATGACTTTAATCCCATCTTTTCTTACTTTGACGGAATTCTCGAAACACGGTTTTCCAAGGGGAATCGCCATAATACTGAATATAACAATGGCAGCGAGTGTAACCTCCCTTTCAGAAAACGGAAAGAACGTCGGGTGAAGACCATACACCACAAGTGCGGACCTTAGTTAGATATTTTATTAGGTCTAGTGTTCATAGGTATGCTATTTTTGGTCAATGTTATGTAAGCAGTGATTTACAACTGCAGACGGATAATCAAAAACATTTACATTTTGGAGGACGTCGATTGGGTGTATGGTCTGCACCCGTCCACTCTTTCATGGTACATGGAGTATATGTAGTCTGACATTCGGTATCTGTTGAATCTTAGCGCATGATGTCACTTGGATTTGAGTACGATTTGTTCTAGGTAAGGTTTAAATGGATAAAGGATAAAGCATTTGCCGTTGATCAATCCCGTTTTGGGATGCGGCACGCATTCTACTTCCATTTGTACATTCGTAGTGGCGTTTGAATGCGATGTGGCCTATACAATGACTTGCGGGGCCAGCCGATGTACAAGTCAGTGTTTTATCCTCCCAGACAAGTCTGGTACCAATTAACCGACCCCGGAGGGATGGAAGGCTTGGTTGGCCCGGGCGACTCACGACCCAGGATTTGATCCCCGGACCGCTCGCGTGGTGAGCGCGCCACTACACCACTTCCTCCCCGAGCCTAAAGGAGGGCCTAAATCCTAACACTGAGTTATGGATCTGGGAATACCTTCTTGACCCTCAGTTATTTCTAGTAGGGGCGAACTAGTAGAAAAATTTCGTCTTTCCGATAAAAGGCTTGATTTTACAATCTCTACTTGAGTTCCTGACAATAGGAACCCCTTCGATCATCGATCGTGCGATGGACTAGACTACAATTGTGGTTCCCAAACCCTGACCCTAAAATTGAATATTGTTATTGTATAAAATAGAAAAAGCGCTATCGCAAGATACGGGGGCATTATGGTAGCACTGCATGAAACAGTGTAAATATCTCCTTTTTCCCCAAATCAGGACTAAGCCTCAGGTGAGGGGAAAGAGGCGCAAGGATGAGCAAGTTCCTTGACGCTCTAAGTTCCTGCCCCCTTTTTAAGCTTTTCTGGAGGATGCCCCCTATCTTGCTTTAGCGCCATATAAAATTAATAAATGTATGAAATTGATAGTAATATTTAAGTGTATGTATAAAATTCATAATGTAATGAAAATAATGTAAAGGACATAGAACATAATAAAATATAATTTAAAACAAAATGAACCATGAAATACGATATATTGCATATTTTGTTTGATGACGTAATAAATGCGAACAGCGCATAATATTTGCTCTCTAAACTGGTCCGGTGTCCCAGTTCCACCCGGCAGTCTTCAGCCGCTGTCATTCAGCTCGACCAGCTCATCCTTCATTTTTCCTCGTCGTTATGATGGCTTTGTCTTGTTTATCCGACTACATATTCCCACCGCAAAGTACACAGGCAATTATTATTCAAAACATCTGTTTATGACATTCGCAGTACACAATCGGATTCGAGCAAAACACAGAACTTTGCCTTCTTGTATTTATAACTAGTTCAAATCTCCCAGATGCTCCCTTACACCTAATTGTTTTCTGCTCTGTAGGCTTTCTCCCAACCGAGTTATGAAATTTTTCATAAAGCACTGCTTTTTTAGAGAACGCCCCGCCCACCGGGGGTGGGTCTCCCTAATTCGAGGGCTAGACCAAAACAATTTTTCGAGACTCATCCAGTAGGGGGATAGGAGGGGCATGTGGTGCGACAGTTGCTGCCTCTCACAGAAATTTCAGTTTTTGCAACGGGAGGAAATCCCAATATTCGCCTCCGCTTTTACATCTACCCCGTAGCTTCACTCCCCTGCGAAAAGTTCGATTTCCTTAGCCGAAGTGAACTGCCCCTCCACATGCCCCTTACTGAGATTGCCCAGTGTAGAATATCCTAATAGATTCGCTCCAATCTTTTCTAGGGTCAGAAATTTTTCACCTTGTGGAACCTTTGTGAGGGTGCAATGCTAGTCGGGTGGGCACGCCGATTTTTTTTGAATACGGTGGGCGCGAAATGTACGTAGAAACTGGTGTTCACTGCTTGCTATGGGCGCACGCATAGTCGGTCGTCCGACAGCAACGATCGCAACTGTCTGACTGTCTAACTGCATCTAATCGTCGAATACTCAGGCAAGTCCGACGATCGATACGCATCCAATGCTGTGCGACACTTGCAGTCGTTGCTGTCGTCCGACCGACTATGCGTCCGGCCTATGGGTAAGAGCGGTGTTGGAATGGAAGGGCATATTGGAAATGGCTATCCTCACGCCACCCACCACCCTGATTAGCTACAACGCCCCCCCCCCCCCCATTCCTACCCTCTCCCACGCTGGCTGTCATGATTTCCATGTTCGCGCTGAAGGACCCCATATACAGAGGCCCTCACATACATTCTCCCTAAAAAGTTGGAGTTGGCCACCAAAAATTGGATCGAACCTTAAAACTTATCGTACTCACGCATCGAATCAATCGAACATGGGTGCTAACTTAGTTGGGGGGGGGCACGCGGCGGCGCGGCAGTCTGCTCACCTGGGCTCTCTCGAGCGAGACAGTGTAAACTCGAACATTCCAGCTTTTCACGCATGTCAAGTGACTGCCCCCACCCCCCCCTAGACTGCCTACACTCCCCCTGGCCCCACGGATTTCCGAACATGCCAGGCGAGCAGACTGCCGCGCCGCCGCGTGCCCCCCCCCCAACTAAGTTAGCACCGTATTTTGTAAATCAAGGTACTTTACTTCCTCCCACACACAACTTCCTCTCTCTCATACACAACCCATGAGATAAAATAACTTCCCAGTTGCTGTTTCAAGAGTTCGCTTTCGTAGTAGCGCAGGCGCTCCATCGCCGATCCGTGCTCCATTGAGATTTCCTTTTTTTGTTTCACGTCGCAATAAAGATATATTTTGACTACTTTCGTCTGTTCATTCTGCTAAATCCTTTACGTTTGTACGGATGGTTAGAGAGAGATTATTCTCCTTTATCATACATCTCTATTTGGTAGGGAGATCGTCTCAGTTGAAGCCAGGTTATTTCCTTTTTCAACTGATCAACACTTACTAGTTCTGCATTTTTAACTGTAGGTGGAAAAGCCAATGAACCATTTGCTTGTGAAGAGAACTTTGATAAATAGAGGGAGTTCGCCTTTTTCACAATACAGTGGTAGAAATACGTTAATCTTCTAATCTCTCATTTGTGATGTTTTGTTTCTGGAGTTTGATTTTTTTGATATTAAAATCTTTACAGTGTCCTTTCCTTGCATTGAGCTCTAGAGATTACTTATTATATGAATAGCTGAGATCAATGCATTTGAATGCTTACCTTTTCGACAAGTACTTCGCAGTTTTCCTCCGCAGTTTTACGTTTTTATCAATTTCCCTTTCAGTATGGGTTCTTGCCTGTGCAAAGAGAAGACACGTCATAATCATGAAAGCGGCAGGTATACTCTCAGAGATTAATTATTTCCGCTAGTCACAGATGTTTTGTGTTGGCAATTAATTCAAGATTTAGTAGTCGAGGATCACGTGGATGTCGTCGGTCGGAGGAGCGAAACAGATCACCACATTCTTTTGAACAGGAGCTTGATTTCGACGCAGGTCTGTTAGGTTTCTTTGCCAATAGCTTGGAATTTTTGACATTATCACTTCTAAAGATAAATCTTTTGGCCTTTTCCTAAAAATGACCCGTTGAACTTACTTCTTGAAACATGTCTTTGGTTTTAGTTTTGCAAAACAGTGGTGTTGATATCAATTCAAATAGTTCTGATGTATAAGGAACTTCTCTTGCGCATAAAGTGTTGTTTTTGCTTTGATTGAAGTCCAAATTTCCAACTAAGTATGATTTTCACCGTTCACCATTGTGAACTCAAACAACGCGCTTTCCGGTTTTTCTCGATTGATTCGCCTGAATGAGGTGGGGTGTATTATGACGTTGACTGGTTTTCTTTGTTCGTATTCTGCCGATGATTCGCATAGCGGTACCTCATTCTCTACGTCGGGTTGTTGAATGGCTCAGAGTGTCTCATAAAACTGGTTCTATCGTGATTTTGTCCTCCAAAGACGCAAATGGCGAGACGGTTCAAATTGTATTTGTGCGCACATAATAGTGTTATGTTAGAGATGGATTGGAGAACAGACAACTCTTAATTTCTTTCATCATTATCAGTCATGGAAATTTATTTATTTATTTATTTATGGACATGTGAAAATACACATGTAACAGCAACACAAACTAAAATAACGACAGTGACAACATCAACCAAGCTGAGTTACAAAACCGTCTTCCATTCAAATGATCTCACCAATATTATTCTTAAAAGTGACATATTTCGAAAAGAACAAATTTGGAGCTACCAAACCCGATCAAAATGCAGAGAACGCCCTCTATTGCTGAGACTTCCGACCTACAATTTGGACTGGCAAGGGTCTTTGTCAGTCACCACTATCAATAGTGAAAGAAACATAAGTAGCAGCTTCGTCGTTTTTTTGTTTTTCGGAGAATTTTTCACTAAGTATTTTATCTCAAAAAGTCATGACGAAATGATTGCGTCATAAAATTTCGAAACTTTCGACGCCACAGACAGAAAACTAAATTTCATTTACATATGACTGAATAACAATCCCAGGGACAAGATCGTCCTTTCTACGTTTTACAAAAGTTTCAATATTAATTCATTTCATTTCATTTATTCAGAATTTCAATATTAAGCTAACCCACATCCTCTAAAGTAGGTTTTCTTGAAATTTCTCTAGCGTATTCTTAATTCACTTGGATTATTTCAGAAGGATCATCTCAGCTTGGTCGACGTATGTCCCTACAAATTTATGTCGGAAACGATGTTGAAGGATTTAATCAGGCAGACACTCAAAGTAATACGATCCCTCGTAAATAAGTAAGTATCTTATTTAACAAGTACTATGTGTTTTTCTTCCTCCTTTTGCGTATATATCATTTTTATGCTTACTGCAGTTCGAAGTTCGTTTTTCTTTTACACTGAATTGAAACTGATATGTAGTCCTCCTCAGTCGAAACGTGTGACTTTTGTTTGATTGCATTTGTCGCTAGCACTGTGAACACCATCGGTCCTAAGAATCAGCCACGCTAGCGCATGACTGGTAAACATCAGCTGTTTACGAGTTTCGACGATAGTGGCTGTGATATCGATAGCGGTCGCGTGCTCTTGATAGGAATTAGAATGAAAGTGAAGGTGAAGAGTTAGCGCTGCCTTGATTTGTGTGAAATGGCTGCAGTAGTTTCATTGGGCTTGAAAGGGCTGCATGTGAAATGAGGCATGAAGTTATCACTTGAAAGTGGATATCTCGTGTGAAGCGATAGAGCCTCCGAATCCTGTACGAAATTATTATAGTCGATCGACCAATCCTAACGATCGCATAGTATTAGATAGTTACCGATCGTCCGACACTTTGATTGTAATAGGCAACAGACATGAAGATTGCTACGATCGAACGACCGACTGTGAAGAGTTCACGGTTTTCTAACGACAACCTATGTAGGATTGAATTTATTCTCGCGTCCACCATCCATGTAGGGCCAGCCTCTAAAAATTCATGGCCGAGTCAAGCTGAATTTTCTCTTTCGCGATCACTACATAGCGGCCATCCTCTCACTAAAAATCTTTCACACAGTTTGTCCCAGATCTAGGATAATCATCATTTATTATAAAAATAAAAATTTTATGCGTCAAAAGATGCATGCCGAAGAGAACTAACCAACCCATAACGGACAGCCATGTATTTTCGTGCCACCCAGGGTAGGGTTTATGTAGGCTTATGTGAACAGCAGGGGTAAGACGGGGCTAAAGTAGGTGTCGGAGTCTCATCATCCGAAAAAAGAGATTTCCGTTGACGACAAGTTCGTAGCCCGCCTTTCCGCTCTAAAACTAGGGTGCAAAGAATGAATGGAAGCTGTAGGTGACATTATCGAAAAATGCGAAACAACAACCCCGAGCAAGGATGTGGCTATATTTAGGGGAAGGGGTCTCGGGACGTGCGAACCATGGGTAAGCCACCCATCAAATAGTAAACTTATGTAAATTAAGACATGTATGTAAAATTTATTGTAGGTTTGTCAAAAATCCAGCCGTCCAGGTCCTGGGAAGATATGTTATTCCACATTGCTGAGAGTATATATGGGTATATTAAGATTGCTAGAAACATTCCAAAAACAAAAGAAATAGTCGTGCGCCACCTTGTGGCGCACGCCGTCCGTTATGGGTTAAATTCCCTGGACTTGGGGAAGGCGAAGGTACAGCTAGCTCTCGCACTGTTGCAAATTGCTTCTGTTTTGCAATTCGTCAACGCAAATTATGCAGCATTCGAATTTTCCGCAAAAAACGAAACTTAAATGAATGCAAAGTATTATATCAAAAGCATCTTCTGTCATGGACATTCGGAACCGAATGGAAATGAAAAATTCGTCTTAAAACTGCAGTTAGTATTAGCCTATTATTATAGTGCTTAACCCATTATTGGAGGCAAATAGGAAACTGTTCCTGAAAATCGCTGAAAGTTGATTTTTTCGCGAATTTTTGGTGCTCCAGAAGAGTAGAAAAAGTAGCAGCATTCGGGAACATGTGCTTAGCTAGTATTTCATAATTTTGTCAGTGAAGATTTTCATGAAATGCCAAAACGGCAGGTATTAGCACAACCCCCTGATGAATGTGCTTTGTTTTTCATCTTATTCTATTGTTCCTATCCTTTTCATTCCTCCTTTTCGATAAACTCAGGATGTGCCAAAATTTTTTTATGGCGGTGAAGGACTTTGCTCCACTACACACCGTATGTTTGAGTGAGCATCGCCGTTGTTCCTTTGACCTCCCAAGATGCGATTGAAATCGGGGATTTTCTTAGCCTTTATATTTCTCTCAAAATGCGGTGTTATTTTTAGGTATCTTTGAT